ACACACACACACACACACACACACACACACACACACACACACACACACACGTGCGCGCTCACACACTCACATACAGCTTACTCCCCTTCTGAAGGAAAAAGGAAAACCATATAGGGTCAAATGCAAAATAGGGGGAGGGTTTAAAAAAAAAAAATCTCCTCAGGAAATGTGATGCATCAGTCTGGAAACTGTGACAGCCGCAGCTGGACAGACCCAGAGACACAGAGGAGACGGCCAGGGAGAAATGGGGCAGGAGGCAGACACAAAGAAGTGGGGAGCTAGGAGCACTTGCTTTTTCTCTCCTTCCTTTGAGCTTTATTAGTCAAGATCTTTATCAGTCTTATAACAGAGGACAGTTGGAGGCGTCACTCCCATTTTACAGAAGGAATTAACTGACAGCTGGGTGGAAGAGGAAGAGGCTCAGTGTCCTGGACCCCAGAGGGAGGCAGCTGGATAACTCAGGAATCCTGGCTCACCAGCCACATTCCAGGGAGCCTCCCCTGCTGGCCCTCAGAGAAGCCCCTGCCCACCAAGGAGGCGCCTGGGGAGTGAAGGAGACTCCAACGAAGGGCTGGCAGTGAATGCTGGGAGAGGATGAGGACCTTCTGTCTAGACAGCCTGGTCCCTGAGCTTCATGGCTTTCCGGGCCCTTCCCTACTTGGTCCCCTCCCAGATCTTTCATGTGGTCTGGCGATGTGGTCTCGGGGCGGGACAGCCTAGACCCAGATATGATATTCCTCCTCATTTCCTTGGTCCTCTTCCTAGCTCCACCTCTTGTTCTGTAGAGAGAGGGCAGCGTGGGATGTCCCAGGATACCCGGGGATAGGACTGAAAGCAGGATCTTCCTGGCCCCCATGTCCATAGCTCTAGCTAAAGGTTGGCATCTGTTTTCTGCCTGCTTCCCCCCACCCCCTGGCCAGGCATATTCCTGCTGGAAGAGCCTGTCACTGCCACCCTGCTCGTGATGACGTGTGCCTCTCCAATTGCCTATGGCTGGGCCCAGTGCCCAGAATGATGCATCCAAAGCCCGGCCCAGCCAGAGAGGGCTCCTTGTTATTTCTAGGGTAGCCCTCTGTTTTTCAAAGAGGGGGGTCCCCCCTACAAGGCTGGATCGGGGAAACAAGACAGGGAAAATGATCCTCTTGCATATATGCCCACAGATAGGCACGTGGCCAGTGAGTTCTCATATCCTCACAGGCGCACACACGGACACTTCGTTACCATCAGCCCTGAGTTCACCCCTGCCCCCAACTTGAACACTCTGATCCATAAACACAAGGAAAGACACAAACACAAAGATACACAAGCCCAGAGGCACAAACACATCCGGAGATACATAAACACACTCCAGTTACACAGACACATAGAGATAGCACATGCACCCCCGAGCCACCCAGTTTCCAGGGAAACGCGCTCCCAAGAATGTCCGGAGTGGGGCCAGGCAGGGCTGGGCTTGGTGCCTTGCTCCAGAGATGAGACAAGGAAACCCTCAGCTCCTGGAGCCCAGGGGAGGGGTAGTGCTGGGGAGAAGAACACCCGTTCCTTTGTGCCTCTGCCTACCCCTCCCCAGGCTGCCAAGCTTCTGAGACAGGCGAGCCTAGACAAGGCAGCTATGGGGGTGGAAGGGAGTGAAAGCGAAGGGGGTTTAGGGTCAGGAGAGAGTGGGAGGGTACATAGTTGGCAGGGTGGGCTTTTGGCTGGGCAAGAGTTGGGGGTCACTTGGGCCACAGGAAATGCCTAAGAATTCCATCTTGGCCCAGGCCCTCCCTCTTCTCAGGGAGCTAAATGCTGCCCTGGGAAGACCAGGCAAGAGAGGCCTACAGAGCATCGGTTCCTCCACCCTGCTCACAACGCACAGGGGAAGAAAATTCTTGCTCATGAACGTGAGGGATTTGGGGCTGGGCTCCTTCTCCAGCCTTCTTTGAACTCTGCCTCTGCCTCTCCTTGCTGTTCTACTATCTCACTTCCACGTACCCAAATCTTGGGGAAGATGCTCTCTTTGAGATGGAAGAGTACGGTCAGGAGCCAGATGGCATCACAGCCAAAGCCTCAATTTATGGGGGTTCCTCCTCTTATCTGGAGTCAGAGAAGCCCTGGAGGAGATGAGGGCCTGCTTGCTGCTGCTCCTGGCAGACCTATCTCCCTGGAGTCAGTTTTCCCCCTGACACTCCCAAAGGCAGGAAGGTTGGGTCTCCTGGGTCAGCCCTGAAGGGAGAGACCCCAAGAGGTGTGAAGAGAAGGAGAGAGGGAAACAGTGGAGTGGGTGGGATTTCCACTGCAAAGGAGCTTCCAGCCATTAAGAGGTAAGAGTCCCAAGAAAACACTGCCAGGACATGGGTCCTCCTACTTAGATCCAGGCTTAGTCCAAAGCTCCATCCTCTACCCCCCAACCCAAATCCACTTTTGTCATCCCCCTAATATGGTGCTTCACTGTATACATTGATGTCCAGGGCAAACACACCTGGTTTATCAGAGTGCTACCTGGCCAACCCCTTACCTGCCTGGTCACCATAGTAACCGGAGGCCCAGTTTTTAGAGCTCCCTTACACAACGGAATGGTCTGTTGCTTTGGGAAACAGGGTGGTAACCATATTCATGACCCAAAAGCTACTGTCAACAGTGTTTTAACAGGAGTGAGTGTGTCCTCAGATTTTGCCATCAGATTTTGCCCTTGTCCCATCGCCATTGTCCTCAACAGCTCCCCAGCTTCAACAGCCTTTCAGAACAACTCCCTCTTGGCATCATGGAGCCATGTGCCACTTTCCCCTCGCTGCTGCTCCAACTGCTCTCCCCTAACGACTACGAGTGACCACTGCACCACTCCCCATGCCCTCTGAGAGCAGGAAGCAGGCCCTCTTCTCTCCCCACGGTAACAGGGTGGGGACGACCAGAGAAAAGCAGGTTGAAGACAAGTCTGGATGCTGGAGGGGTTTCGAAATGCACCCGATCCAGATGCACCTGAGCACCCCACCCCCAACTTGGGCACTCAGGCGGTTACCATGGCAACCAACACAGCAGGCTTCCCCTGCACCTGTCATGCACAAGCTTTTAAACAGCTCCCTAGGTTCGGGGCTGTCAGAACTTACCCTGAGTGAGTCGGGTGGGCTGCCGGACCAGGAGCCCATCAATAGTGCAGGCATTGCCGCAGGGGTAGAGGGTGAGGGTGCCCCGCAGGTTCTCGATGTAGCAGTGCTCTGGAGCCAGGCCTGGACCCTGCAGTGAGATGTCCCTGGCTGCAGAGCCAATCACTGTCCTCCCTGAAAACAGGAGGCAAACTGAGTCAGAGGGGTAGTCCAGGCTGAGCTGGCAGAGAGGGGCAAGGAGGGCCACACTGGAAATCTACTGCCACCTCCTACTCCAGGGAGAATCACGGGCCACACCTTTGGGGCCCCTGAGCCTGGTCGAGACAGTAAGGGGTAGAAGCTCTTCTCAGACCCAGAGATGAAGGCCCGAAGGGCACAGTGGATCCACAGATAGAGTAGGGAAGGGGGACTTTTCTGCAGACCTTCCCTTTGTCCCCCCAGTCCTCCCTCCCTAAGACATTTTTCTCCTTCCCCATTCTCCCCCATCTTTTCCTCAAACTCTCTCAGCCTCCTTCTTTTCTCCCTCCCTTCTGCCACCTGCAACCCTTGCCCTCCCTCACTCCCCTCTCTTCAGTTCAACTCTCCCCGGGCTTCCGCAGGCACAGCCCCTCCCCCTGGCAGAGCCCCCGGGACCGGTATTTGGAGAACGTGGGGAATGTAGTATCACCCAGGCAACAAGTGCAACCTCGAGAGTAGAGAGGAAGGGCAGAAGCCGCAAGGTGGAAGGGGCTGTGCCAGGGCCTAACTAGGAAGTCTGCTCCCACTGCCATCTCTCCATCTCCACCAGCACCTTCTCCCATGTCAGGCACTGCCCTGGAGGGGGCCCCCTTTCTTCTTGGCCACAGTGGTTGCCAAGAGCCATGTGCTCTCCTGTTTCAGTGCTCTCCTCCTGATTTCTAAGCTGATCTTTAATCCCAGTCATGGAGCCGGATTAGTCTGGGCAGGCAGAGACAAGGGAAGCAAACTGGTGGGGTAGGTGGCACGGCCTCCCATTTGGGGGAGGTGAACACTGCCAGCAGGTATCAAGAGGGCCCCAGCACATGCCAGGATCCCAGGGCAGGAATGTCTATGGGGATGGAGGGGTGGCAGGTCAGATGCCCCCCAGACTCACCTTCCTCCAGCGGCAGAAGAGTGATGGCCGTGCTGAGCCGCCCACTGCCCAGGCTCACCAGATGGGGTTTGTCCGTTTGCACTTTCAGCCCTTTGCCTGTTTCGATCAGGTCCAAGGGTCCTTTCTGCAGGTAGTGGAGGTGGGGGATGAGCATCATGAGACTCCTGGCTGGCACCTTACCACCCTAGTCCCCGTCCTCACACCAGCACTTGCTCTAGCACCTACGCTCTCCAAAGGGCTCTGACGGTGTAGTGCAAAATCTTGCACAGAGCAGTATTCCACTAAATTGTAATTAGATCTGAATCTAGGCCACTAACTCGTCCCACTGGATTTATCTCAAGTCTTGGTTTAACTGCCCCTTTTGTCTGTTAGGACAGAAACAGGAGAAAGGGGAGTGGGGAAGTGCTTGGTAAGAGGAGGGGCTACTGGTAGAGGGGACCGATCAAGACTTGTCCCTGTAGACCTGTCCGTGGCAATCCACTTGGCCATTGTTTGCCCCTGTTAAACTAAATTACAAGAGAGGGCAGGGCCTGGATCGAGGAGAGAGATACAGCTCAGGGTCAATCTGTAAAACACTTCCTGACTTTCAAAGGGTATTTTCTGGGTGAACCAATTAACCTAATTCAGCTAAAGACTTAGCTGTTAATAGGCTTGGGACCTGGGGAAGAGCAGAGGTGGTACCGCTGTCATCCTTGGGCTGGGACCACAGGTAGGTAGAGGAGTCAGCACATCCTCACCAACAGCCCGCTTGCCCCGCCCCCAACCACACTCACCTGCACCATAGCTGGGGTCTTGCTTCCAGGGCCCACTTGGTTCCTATTGATAGTGTCCATTGTCCTGGGGCTCCAGAGCTCCTGCGGACACAGCAGAAAACAGGTGAGGTGCGGAGGCCAGGGTAGAAAAGGGCAAGGAGTAGGCTCTGTAGCAAGGTTCTCAGGGAAGGGGCAGGCCCGTGTCACCGTGGTTTCCAGCATGCTCCTGCTGAGGGAGGAGTCGAGGCAGCTCAGGAGCTTCCTGGGGGAAGGCGATGCCGCCTCTTCAGCTGTGGCGTGGATACCACACCACACCGGTCCTGGCCCTTGCCACACACAGGAAGCCCCAAAAGTCCTATAGGGCCCAACCTGTACTGCTGTACTTTCTTGCCTCTGACACCCAGGACTCAGGCCTTGGCAGCTGAGGACCCTCACACAACTGGAGCCGTAAGCAGGGTGGGGGAAATCTACCTTAGCGGGAGAAGCAAGTCCAAGGAAGCCCCTCCAGGGACACTGGTAGACAGGGGGCCCCAGGTGGGTGGCAGGGCTGAGCAGGAGCTCCCTCCCACAGCCTTTCCCTCTCCTTCTTCTCCCTTTGTCTCTTTTCCCAGGGGTCTCAGAAGGATGTTTTCTTAAAGGAGACACACGGGAAAAACACAACTATTCCTGCCATCTCTTTGTCTCAATTCCTGCACCCTCTCTTCCCCAGAAAGCAATCTTACCCCCAAACAGTCAGCAAAAAAATAGAAACCCTCCATGGTGACTAGCACTGGGAATATAGGACTCTGGGGATCTTCACCTGATTTGGTGCTGTAGGAAGCTGAGGTCCTTAGAACCAGAGGTAAAATACTGATAGATTCCAGAGCCAGAACCTGAACTCTTCCTCACTCATCGCTTTCTCCCTGGCTCACAGTTTTGGTACCTGCAAACTCTGAGGAAGGACCTCTGTGTACTAATAGGTACCTACATGCCCATCCTTGGCCAACTCACTAAGGCTCGTCTGCTGCTGAACAATGTTTCTGGGGAAGTTGAAAAGAGTGTAACTGAATGTAGGGAGGGAGACGTAGGAAAGCAGGGTGCCCCTCCACTTTCTCTTCCAGCCATCTTCCAAGGGACTTGGAGAAGAAGTCGGGGGAGGAGCCAGCATTCCAAGTAATGTCTGACCCTGGCAGTGGGGCCCAAAGGCCTTAGCCATAGTTACTAATTTTACCCTCCCGGCTTCCACCCTTCCGGACCTGGACTGCATCGTCTCCGTCACCATTTCCACCCAAGCTGGCGGAAGAGAGGCTGGAACAGGGCCTGGGGCCCGCCCCAAGTCTGCCTGGGAAGAGGGAAGGCAAAGGCCATTAACCTACACCAAAGCTCAAGGTGGCCTGGCACCTCCCCAGGAGACCTGGCCAGGGGGAAGAATTTCCAGGGACAGAGACTGCTGTACTCAGGGAAATCCCTCAGCATTCTCTGAGGGAGGAGAGGCAAGAGAGTGGGTTGGGGATGGAGAGTTTCTATAAAAGAGGGGGTAAGAAAAACAAAACGATAAACAATGGTGAAGGAAAGGCATCATCACTTAGTGGAAAGAGCTTTAGACTGGGGTACAAGAGCCTTAAATTTTATTTTATTTTATTTTATTTTTTAGAACCTTAAATTTTAATCCTGACTTTATTATTTATTAGCTGAGAGATCTTGGACAAGTTACTTAACTTCTCTGAGTGTCAGATCATTCTCTATAAAACTGGAATAATGATTTAAAGAAAAAACACCCACTACTTGCCTGGGGCTAGGGGTGGAATGGGGAGTGACTATAAATGGGCAGATTTGAGGGGGGTGATAGAAATGTTCTAAAACTTACTTGTGATGACGGTTGCACAGATCTGTAAATACACTAAAAATTACTGAATGTACATTGAAATTAAGTGAATTTTATGGTATGAACATCATACCTCAATAAAACTGTTAGGTTTTTGTTTTTTTTAAAGATGATTGTCTGGAGATTCAGGTATTACATGAAATGACACTCTGTGAAGTGCAAAGCACTATAAACATGCCAGTTATCAGTATGAGCTTCATGATCTTGAACAAGTCACTTCACCTATCTGGGCTTCAGTTTCTTCATCTGTCAAGTTGTCATTATCACTCTGTGAGGTGGCAGTAGGTGTGCTCTTTTATTTACACCAAGGATTTCAAGTGCAGATAAAGATTGTAAAGGAATGAGGTTGATGGGGAACAAGAGTGATTGGAGGGGAGGAGAGAAGGGAATAAGGAGGTGAAAGAAGAAGGAGAGATAAGGAGAGAGGTGTAGGGAGAGACAGAGAAGATAAGAAAAGATGTAGAGATTGGGAGGCGCGGGGCTGTGGCCCCAGCTCCGAAACCTAATCCAGGTGAAGTGGAAAGGTACACCAGACCGGCGCGTCCCAGCACGCGGGCGGCGCTCTGACCCAGGGGCTGCGCAGCGGCCGGGAGAGCAGCCACGGGGTGGGGGGCGTGGGGGACGGGTCGGGGCGGGGGCGCCTTCTCCTCCCACCCCACCCCCCCTGGCCGGGAGTGCCAAGCGGGCTGCTCCGGGGCGCCTCCCACCGGCCAACCTGCTCCCGTCCCACCAGGCTACCCACTACCCGGGGCTGTAATTACCCAGCCCGCTCGCCCAGCCCGGCCTCCGCGGCCGCTCTGGGAAACCCCGCCCCGCCCGCTGCCAAAAAAAGGCCCCTGCGGTGCAAGTCCAGCTCTCGGGGAGGAGGGACTGGGGGAAGCGCCGCGGTCAGCCTCGGCTCTCAGTAGCCCTCCTGCACCGCGAGCAGAGATGCCCAAGCTCTTCCTCGGGGTCAGGGTGGCAGAGGCCTGGGTGTCTGGAGGGCCCCTTGTGGGGCGACGCCGGGGCTCCGGCAGGTGACCCCGCTCCGGCCCCTCCGGCCTCTCGGCCCAGCGCGAACGCCCGAGCATCCAGGCCACGGGGGATCAGCAGCCCTACCCGGTCCCCAGCTCTCTGCGCCTCGTGGGGCGCCCAGAGTCACCGCTTCGGGGGTCTCGGCACCTTAGCCAGGGCGGTGGGGGCCCAGGGAGCGGCCGGAAAGGTCTGGAACCGACAGGCACTGGAGGAAGTCCAGACTCCAAATTAGGCACCAGAAGAAAGGTCCGAGGCCGGCCCCGGAGCGAAAGCGGTCCCGGCGGAGCCCCCGCACGGGTGCTTCCGCTCCGGCCTCACCTGTGGCCCCGGCGGCCAGCCCAGGCCTCGTCTCGGGCGTCGCATGGCTGTGGCCCGAGGCCTCCGGGGCAGAGCTGGGATCCTCTCGACCCGCCGCCACCGCCTTCGCCCGTCCGGCGCACATCCGCCCTCGAGGAAGGGCCGCCGGCGGAGGAAGGAGCCGGGAAGGGAAGGAAACTGAGGCTGGGAGCCCAGCGGGCGGGGCGTCGGAGCCGGGCGAGGGCGGGGGAGGGCGTGGGGGAAAGCCAGGGACGGAGGGAACTTCGGGAGAAGGAAAACGAGGGGTCTGCGGAGGGACGGGGCGGGTGGGAAGACGAAGGGATTTGGAGGGAAATAAGAAAGAGGGAGACTGAGGGATGAGGGAAAAGGAGGGCTGGGGAGGGAAGACTGAGGGCAGAGGATGGGGAGGAGGGGAAGGAGGTGGGAAACCGGATAGAGTCCAGGGGACGCAGAGGTGGGGGGAGACGGGGACGGAAAGGTAGAGGGACTGGGGGACGAAGGAGATGGGGGAGACTGGGGACAGAGAAGTCCTCAAGGAAAGGGGGTGACGGACCGGGGGAGCAGTCGAAGGTACCCAGGGCCGTGGAGGGGGAGACCGGGGGTGTGGTGGGAGGCGGGGCCCTGGAGTAAAAGAGGGGGCCGGAGGGCAGGCCGGGGGACCCAGGAGTGGGGAGAGACCGTAGGCGGGCAGCCGGGGCTGGAGGAGGCGGCGGGACAAGGCGAGAGTGTAGTTCGGGGGTGTGATTTTACTTGTGTGCGGGGTGGAGGTGGGGTGCCGGAAAAGGGCAGCTCTCCGAGGCCGGGGAGGCCGGGGGACTGAGTTGGGTTTCCGCACGGAGGGCTCCCTGCTGCCCCTCGCCGCCCTCCCCAGGGCCGCCAGGTGGGACAAGGCCGCAGTGTTGGGCCGCCTGCCGGGCCGCCCCGCCCGCCGCTGACGCCGGACAAGCGGCCTTTCTTTGGCCGGGCGGGGAGAAGGGGCCGCTTGTTTGCCCGGCGGGGGAAAGGGGCGGCCCCCAGACACCTCCGGCTCCCCGCGGGCGGCGGCGGGAGGGGGGCCGCGTGTGCAGCATTTGTGTGTGTGTGGGGGGGGGGTGCGTGTGTAACAGTCGGCCTGTGTGAGGACTGAGTGCGTGATGGGTGTGTGTGAACGGCGGGGCCGCGTGTGTCGGGGTGCGTGGCCCGGGGAAGGGCGTGAGCCGCAGGTGTGAATGTGGGCTTCCTGGGAGGGCTGCGGGTGCTTGGCGTGTGTGTGGAGTCCTAGGTGTGCGCTGGGTCCCACACTTGTCACGGCGGAGAGAGACGCAGCTGTCCGCGTGGCGTGTGCGGTGGGAAGGGTGCGTGGGTGATGCCGGGTGGGGCGCCGAGTGTGTCTGCGCGTGGATGCCTGACGTGGTGGGGAGGTTGGCTTTGTGTGTGACCGGTTCGATGAGTCAGACTCCGGGACGGCTGAGCTAACGGGCCCAGTATGCAGCCCCGCCCCGGCGCCCTGGGTCCCCCGTCGGACCGCTCGGTCTCCCGGCCCAGGCTCCCCTCTTGCCCGCCTCGGCGGAAGCGTCCGCGGGCGCCTCGGCCAACCAGCTGCCCCAGACCCCCGCCGCCCCCGGCCGCCTGCGCTTCCGTATCCCGGAGGAGCCCGGAGGACCTGGCTCAGCCCCGGCACCAGGGAACTCCGCAAGGGATTCGAATCTGGACCGTGCGGGCGTGGCAAGAGCGGAGACTCACTGCCCCCAGCTTCCCCCCTCTGGCCTCCCAGACCCCTAAAGACGCGGGGCCTTGGAGAGGGCCGGGGAAGCCTCAGATGTGCCACCCATCTCCTGAACACACGCAAGAGTCCCTCCCGGACACCACTGCTTCCAAGCCGGACTCCGCAGCCCCTTCCTGTCCGCCAAGGCGGCCCGGCCCGGGACTGGAGCTGAGATGCCCCGGGAGACACCTCCGCTCCTGGTGCAGGGCTCTCAGTCCTTCTGTCGGCGAGAGAGGGGAGGTGTGGGGAGCAGGCGGACGAGACCCCGCGAGTGTCACCCAGACGTCTGGGTGCCCGAAGGAGGGTCTTGGGACGAGGATCCGCGTTCCCCCCGGGGGGGAGAGCGCAAGGGCCCCCTCTGGCGGCGGCGCGGGCGGCGGCTCGGGAGGGCAGGAGCAAGCAGCTCTCGGGAAAGCAGCGGAGCCCACTCCGCACAAAGCCTCTCGCGCCCCCACGCACTCACCTGTGGACCCCCTCCTCCCCTACCGGTTTCTTCCTGGCTCTTCCAGCCCAGAGCTGATCTGAGGGCTCTCTCCAGGTCCCTGGGACTTCCTCTTATCCAGTCCCAGCCGCGCAGCGAGCAGGACCCGCACGCGTAGTGGGGGAGAGCGTTCTTACCTCGGGGGGAAAGGGGGACACTGGTTCCTTCGCCTGGCTCGGCCGCCGCGGCCCCAGGCTCAGAAGGACACTCTTGCTTTTCCCTGGGAGCCCGCTGAGTAGGAGGAGAGCGAGCGGGTCCCGCCTCCCTACCCCCGCCCCCCAACCCCCCCCCCCCCCCCCTCCCCCACCCCCCCCCCCCCCCCCCCCCCGGCCTGCACAGCGCCCGCTTTGTTCATCTCTCTGCAGCTGGGCTCTCCACTACCACCACCACGTACACACCCCTATCCCCACTCACCCTCCCCTTCGGGCTCTCCTAGACCACCCTCCACCCCTAGGCTTTAAGGCTCTTCTGAGAAGGTGTTTTTGACAGTTTTTCTCTAAACAACCCCCCCCCACCTTTTTTTCCCTCACTTTAGATGCCTGAATCCTCCATGAGCTCCCAATGAACTTCATGGTTGCAGCCCTACAACATAGTCTCATCACCTCCAAATATCTGCTGAGGGCACCCAGGTCTACTCTCTGTTGCCCCTTCTTCTCATCCTACTCCAAGCCCCTCCACCATGACGACCTGTAAGTGGGGTGGATAACTCTGCATATAGGGTGTCACAGATTTTCCTAAGGATACGTATAAGGAGGCACGGTACAGTGCCATGCAAACTGTAAAGCACAGGAAAGCTGAATGGAATTATCGTCTTACCCCGTGTAGCTCCACCCTCACCACAACCTGCAGGATTACACGTGGGAGACAAGCTGTAGGTTTACTGTTGAGCACACCATCCTACAGCAGTCTGGGTCTCTGTAGGAGCGAGCGAGGGGTTAATAAGGATGAAGAGGGGGGCACCGAAAACCTAAGGTGACGCCTAGAAACTGAGCCTGGTTGAAAGTCATTCTCCCCACCCGAAATCCAAGCTGACAGAGGATTCTTACCTTGCAAAGCCAGCTCTCGCCCCAGGAGACTGACAGGGGAGGCCCTAGGGAGCTGAACGCAGCTAGACTGGACCTCTTTAACCAGCACTGGAGGGACCCCTGAGACTTTTCCTCCCTGAAGGAGAGGAAGGAGAAATCCCCCAAGGCTGGCATAAATTCCAGTGAGGGAAGGATAGCAGAAAATAATTTGTCCTCTTTGGGATGGACAAATCTTGCTCTGATTCAGTGACTTTAGTGTGTACCCTCCCTGCCTAACCCAGGAACAGCAGAAGGTTGAACTGCAGGAATCTTTGGTCACTCATTGACAGGGCCAGCATTAGCAGGGGGACCCCCCACGTCTGGAGGCTGGAGCTGACCGGTCTAGAAGCAGGAGGGGGTGGGACGCTCTCTGCAGCTACCTGCTATAGCTAATAGAGGTCAAACTATCAGGCTTCAGCATGTGCTGTGGGCACCAGGAAGCCCCAGGATTTGGCCTGGGGTGGAGGAGCGGTGTTGGGGGTGGAAGCCTCTTATTCTCTTTCTTCATACTGTTTGAGGCTCATAACAGTATCTTAACTCTGACCACCTTTTTATGAGGCAGATCACAACAGTAATTTTCAGGCTATTCTGTTTAAAAAAGAAAAGAAAGAAAATGAAACAAACCCCAAACTTGTTGTATCTTATGTGCCAAGACCCAGAGTTTGAGGGAAGAGGCTCAGATTGGGGTACCGCAAAGGCTTTTCACATAACTGTTTCACAATTCCAGCTCTTCCTTACCGTCTTGGTCAGGAGGAATTTCAGGGAATAATCAAGGCTGCCACGGAGGCAGGCGATGCTGAGGCAGGGGGTTGAAACATCACCCAACTGCTCTCTGTCCTCCCAGCCCAGCGGCCAGCTGACCCCATGATAAAGGTTCTGTGCAATGTGTCCTCACTCCTGCTGTGTCGGGGCCCTATGTTCCCACAGTTAGAGCACTCAGGGGACTTCAGACCTACCATCCCCACCCCGCTCCACATCTGGAGCCCATCAAAAAACTCAGTGCTCTCTCACAGTTACGCAAGAGGTTGAGCAGCTGGGAGCTCAGAAAGGGGGAGGAAGAGAGAAGAAAGCAGAAAACAGCTTTCCAAGCATGCTTCAGACTTTCCGAAGTGGAAGCAGGGGGAGAGGGCAAAGGCTGGGTGTGGAAGGAAGAGTGGATTTTTTAAGGCCCTCTGCACTTGGCTATGAACGTCAGGAGTGGACTTCCACACCCAGCCTGCCTTTGCCACGGCACATTTCCCAGCTCTGTCCGTCCTCTGAAATTGTACACTCTCCAGCCCCAGAAAGAGGTGATTATTGCTCATTACAGCAAGCAATCCCTGTAGATGCACACCCTATCCCAGGAAGCTAACCTTTCTGGCCTCTTTGGATCCTGAACTCAGGCATCATTAGTGTAGGTGTGGTGGCAGCAATGATGCCAAGTAACTCCTCACTGCATCCAACTTGGAGAAAAAGTTCAAACCTTTCTTCACTAGCTGCAAAAGAGCAGAAGCTCTCTTCTCAGCTTGCCTTTGAAGCTGCACAATTCACACTTCCACCCACAGCTAAGGTACGTCCAAGCTGAGTGGGAAATTTGGGTAGGACAGAAGACTGGTCTTATTTACCTTCCGTGGCTCAGGACCTTCCTATGAGCGGAAAAGAACAAGCATTCATTCAGGCAAAAGAATGGGAAACAAGACCTATTTCCATTTCTCTCATTGCTTTGAATTGGTAACACTTCTTTTTCAAAAAGCCCGTTAACCTGATCTCAGATTTACATCTATGGGAACTTCCCAGAATTGGACTAAGCCTTAAATAACCACATAACCCCTGCCCTATGAACAGCAAGGCAAAGAACTTTCCTTTTTGACCACTGAGGGCAGAGGTAGGGGAGTGGCCCAAGCTTCTGAAAACCGCCTGGTTGCTTGATTCTTGTTTGAGAGGGGGCAACAGATCAGTTTGGAAAAGTAGTCTAAACTTCCTAAAGGCCTGCCTCCACATCAGTCACTAACTCCCCAGGGTGAGATGTGAAACTGACTCTTGTAGACATGCTATCTGCTCTTGGGTCAGGAGCAATACACAGCAACCAACCTACTTGTGGATCTTCTAGGAGTTTCAGAGAAGCTCTACAGCTGCAAATATATTTACCAAATGGGGCAAAAAGAGGGAATGAAGGGAGAGGATGGTTGTAGTGAGAGATGTGCATA